ATTCCTCAGTCTCCTGTATTTCCTCCTGCCTTCTTCATTGTTGACATTCTTCCATTTCCTTCGCTCCTCCATTTTACTCATAATCTTCTATCTTCTCAACTTTACCAACCAAACCACTGATAGTATCTAACATGAATTCTTTTATATTGTTCCACTGCGCTTCAGCATTTCCGTTTTCACCTTCAATTGCACCGAGTTTCTCTTCTAGGGTCTCTTACACGCTTGCACGCTTGCACGCTTTGTCTTTGACAGTATGAGTAACGTTAAAAACAAACATCACATCAAAACTTACAATTCTATAAACAAATGGGCTGTTATGTGCACATTTAAAAAAATTAACAGAATTGCTAAATTAACACATAAAATTGTTAATTCCCTGAACCAAATGATAATCTAACTCCATGGATCTAAGCTCTCCTTGAGAGGCCAACAGCTGCTTGGACAGTTAAACTGAAAATTAATAGACTGTGGTCACACTTTATGCACAAAGTTTGAAATAATCCTAAACGAAAGAAATTCGGCAAGAATCACGAATGTTTTTCAAAACTTGTCTTGAATTATGCGAGGTCTTCAGGAACGCATCCCTTGCATAAAATGCGACCACACTGTATTACCATCATTAAAGACTTGGATCTAGAAATTAAACCATTAAATCTGAACACATTTTCTTCCTCTAACGATTTAATCACAAAATCATCCGATGTCAAAATTGCTATTAGTTTTATCTCCAGTTTCAGCATTAAAACAAAATGAGTATTTAAGTCTGCAGTGTGGGATGGTATGGATTTGTGGAGCTGTCTCCTGTTTGATATACATATTTACTAATATTGATAGAACTTCACTTTTCAATAACACTGATCTATAAAATTAGGTTCTCGTATTACGTATCAGCGTACAGTGGTGGATATCATTAGATAACACTGTCCAACCAGCCTCTGTCAACCCTTACAGAGGGCAGTGATATCTGTGACGTACTGACTTGCGATTCATTTGGACCGGCAAACGCGCTTGTCTGACAAGTACTGTGCCACCAGACCGTCAAAACTGGAGGTATATAATATATAATATTTATATATATTCACTTCTTTACCCTGACTGACCAACTGACATTGACTTTCAGCTATAAGGTTATACTTTCCGCTAGCTCTCAGATATCTAATTTATATTAAAAAATTTTCTCAGACTCATGCGCACCAAGCTAAGGAGGGTCAGTTTCATCTTTCCACCAATGCCCCAAAAATGAGTTTGCGCATGCGTCGCCGTTTCGAGAACTGACGCCTCTGCACGTTCTCTCACATGCTGGACGGATTATACAATTCTGCCTTCTTAAAACAATACTTAAAAATGATCTGTTTTAAATACTCAAGTATTTGAACCAGGACGTCTTTGACAGTTACTTACGTAAAGTATGCAAATTTACGTTAACGTGGTACGAGTATCATCAACAAAATGCTTATCTGCATTTACTTTGGTGAGCAGTGGGGTGAGAAACGTGAAAGACTTTTGTAACATATGTCGCTTTCCAAGCTCTGTAGCCCTTCATTTCTATGGTGTTGCAGGTACAAAGCGAACAGACTGTCGCCGTCTGATAATGGAAACGTTTAAAATATGGGGCGAAACGAAGTCTTTGTCATTCAACACTGGTGATTATATTCCAAGTTGACCTCTCACCAGGCCCCAGTCACGTTACTGGCTTTGCAGGTTGGACGGCGAGAGAGGGTAATATTTTTAAATTAGTACACATAACATTAGTTTTGTAATTTCGAATGTGAATAACAGATTTTACGGCAGCGTCACTGGTCACGTAGACAGAAATCACCTTCTACAAGTGGGACGGACGGACGGACTGACTGACTATTACCATCCGACCGATGTCCAGGTCTTCCTACTGGTCTCTTTCCTCCTGACTTTCCCACCAAAACCCTGCATGCATTGCTCTTATCTCCCATGATGCCGCATGCCCTGCACATCTCACCCTCCTTAACTTGATCATTCTACGTAATTACATTCGGCGAGGAGTACAAGTTATATAGGTCATTATTATGTAATTCTGTCCAGCCTCCTGTTATTTCATCCCTCTTCAGTCAAAATATTCTCCAGAGCATCCTGTTCTCAAACATCTCCAGTCTATTTATTTTTATTTTATGTACGCTCTTCTGTACTCGTACATAATATTAAAATTTCTGTACCGTCACACAACAACGTTTGATTATTGTATACAGAAACGACTGAGATCAAGTGAAAACAATAAGTCAGATCAGTTTATTACATAAATCACATTATATATTTCTGTCTCTTTTGACCATGATGACGTGTGTATGAATAAAAACAAGTAAATATATCGAGTTTACGCTGAATTGTATGATGATACTGTATCCACTTTTCAACGCCACAAATTAAAATCGTGTGAGGGGCTATGCTACAAGCCGGAAGGCCGCGGGTTGAAGTCCCGATGAGGTCATTGGATTTTTTCAATTAACCTAATCCTTCCAGCCGCACTGTGGCCCTGGGGTCGACTCAGCCCCTAACAGAAATCAGTACCAGGAATATTCTTGGGGGTAAAGGGCGGCCGGCGCGTAAGGCTAACAACCTTGTCGCAATCTATGTCTAGAAAATGTGGGAACCTCAACATATCACAACCCTATGGGCCTCCACGGCCTCTTACAGGGGTATCTTTACTTTTACTTACCATTTAAAATAACTATACACACAATTTAAACTAATATCTACAATCACATAGTTCCCTGTTCCTAAAAAAACGACCCTCATACAGGCTACCTACATTTTACTATATAAGCATTACATAAATATTTTAATAATTCTACAATATTGCAGATATATTTTCGTACATTCATCCCCAAACACGTACGCAATTTTTAATTTATGACGTTAAAGAATGGATCCATTTTCATCATGTAATTGAGCATAAACGTAGTCATTTATTGCTTTTATTCATACACACCTCATGATGGTCAAAAGTGACCGAAACATAAGTGTGATTAATATAATAAACTGATCTGACTTATTGTTGTCACTTGATCTTAGTCGTTTCTGTATATAATAATCAAACATTGTTGTGTAACGGTTCAAAACCTTTAATATCATATCCTCATTCTATGTTGTTCCCTTAATATGAGGGACCAAGACATAACCACACAAAACCACAAGCAAAATTGCCATTTTTCATGTTTTTAATCTTTATGTTTTTGAACAGCAGACGAGAAGACAAAACGTTCTGGGCTGAATGGTAGCAAGCATTACCAGAATTCAATCTGCTCTTAGTTTCCTTGTGAATTCTAAACGTGAAACTTAGCTTTAATTCCGAGACACACCATAAGGGACAAGGTAACAGTAGATTCCTACAGTCTTTGCGGACCATCACTGCACCAGAGCTCCAGAGTTGTTGGGCG